ATATTGACCTCTCAACTAATAACTAATAACTGCCAGTAAAAAAGAAGAAATTGACAAGGTCTATAGGATTTATATTTCAAAATCAAAATTTATTTCTGTCAGGAAGCATAAGCAGAAAATTTTTAATGACGGTGGGGTAGGTGATAAACTAATCTTATATTGAATTAATTTAAAACTATATAGTTCAGTTCTAATTTGGAATTGGCTTAATTGAAGTAAAGGACAAAGACCTGTAGTACCTCATTTGATTTAAAACACGTCAGAAGGTAGTGCGAGATAACTTTCAGTAGGTAAGCATTTTCCAAACATTGCTAAGATACTACTATAGAAACTAAAGCAGCTGAAATGTCGTTCAGATGTTATTATACAAAATATTATTACTTGATAAATAATAGAAATATATGTGTAATTTCTACACACGACATTATCTAACCCATATAAGAAATCAGCATTTTGATTATGGTATATCCGAGTCTCGCAAATATATGCAGTTATAAGAGAATCCAGTCAAAATGTCAATCAAATATTGTATGTTTTAACTAATTCACATATGTAATTAATCAACTTGATTTTGTTTTTTTGATTGAAGTACTATTTACTTCCTATAAAGTCATCGCTATATTAAAAGTGGTTTACAAATTCACACAAAATACTTCAATAGATATATAATAAATAAATATAAAATGTTTTAGTTTTTATAAGTATCACTTGAAATAAATATTATATTACAGCCATTATATCACACATTCATAAACTAAAGCTATTTCAGTTCTTGTCTACAATGAAATGACAATTTTAATTTTCGATTTTCGTATCTTTAAAGAAATCTAAATCTTCAAAAACTCTCATTGTACGTTTTATTAGATTGTCCTTAAATCTCCAAATATTCGGATCCATAATAGTTAAATTCAAAGTATTCTTATCATCTGGCTCTCGGTAATGTTGAAGCTGTGCATCAGTAGTATTCATATCAAGATCTCGACAACCCAAATAATTCAAACTGTAATGATTATGTAGTGTTAACGCGTATTTTGTATTATGTAAACATTTTGTTGCAAAGCCACTTGGCATATGTTTTTCAATTCTCTTTACATGTTGCAACATATAAAAGTAGTTCGGAATATCGGTGGAATAAGGCGGTTGACCTTCATATTTCGGATAATAGGTGTTTCGAAAACAGATACCAGCAAATGTTTTACAATTAGGACTTTTAAATTTCTCACCATATTCAACAATATCATACCAAGATGTCCAATTACCAAGTGGCATAATCACTTCATCAATATCAATACCCGCCACATAATCATATTTATATATGTTCCGATAAAAACAATCGTTGTATGGAAACATTTCGTTTAATATCATATTTAGATAATCCTCCTTCATAATGTAACGCTGGAAATTAGCAAAGACCGGCTCACCGCGTGCATAAGAATATGGATATACCCTAAGAAAACCCTTTTTCTTATAATAATCAATCACTTTTGTCGCATTTGGATGTACAGCAAGTGAGTAAGCAATAACTTCTTGGGCACCTAGTATTCGCATCATTTCCATCCACTCCACTAAGCGTGCGGATATATCTGCAAATGGAAACATGAAACCCTTAACACAAACCGCGAAACCACCTTTCTTTCTTTTGCCTAATGGTGGTTCATAGATGACTTTTAAATGATTTGTAGCTTTATCACACTCTTTATTTACAATGGATATACTTCGTGGTGCTTCGGAAGCTTTCTCTTTAGGCAGTATACAGGTTAACATATGTGGATACAAGTGATTAAATTTATTTCCCCAACCCTTAATCCATACAACTAAATATTCAGTTATTGGCACAATCACAGGTTCCTTTTGTGATTCGAACCAGAATTGACAGTAATTCGTATTGAATTTCTCTTCAATTTGGTTTATCATCGCAAAAATGCGTACTACGGGATGTTTTGGAATATCGGTGCGATTATCATAGTATGCAGCAAACAATTCAAATGTTATATTCTTATTACTGTAGTGTTGATAAAAATTATTATGGAACTGTATTTCAAGTACTTCCGGATATGGAGCACATGTGGTATTTAAACGAAAACCTCTGTAGCGATTTTTCACATGAAGCTCTAGTGGCAGATTAGGTAATTCTTCATTTACCGCTTTCACCATTTCTTCGAAGGTGGGTTCTAAATATAATTTATTAGATATTAAACATTTTAAAGCAATTAATTTTCATTACCTCGCACTGATGTATCCAATTTCAGTTCTTGCGGATATATGAATTTATGAATTTTTGTAGAAAAACTGATATAACCAAAATTCAGTAATATAACTGCGATAAAATTAATGAAAGTGATAAATGCCAAAATTTTGAATCCGCGTTTTTTAAACATTTTGTTCTAACTTTAATTATACTATTAATAATTAGTAATTGTAGTTATAATATTTTTTAAATAACACAAATTAAATGAATTAAAATTAGTTGCCGATTTTTGAGTAACACACTTTCTTAATCGCAATTTAACTGAAAACTAAATATTGGAACATTTTTTTATTTTTATTTAATTCAATATATTTTCAAAACCAAACAGAAACAAGCTGAGTCAAGCTACCAACATATTTGTTGATATATCTTTGTTAATCCAAAAACTTTATTTAATATAGAAGCAGACTTCGCTAAAAAATTCGCTCAAACTGACTACAGTACTGGAGTCCTAGAAGAATTACACATGTAAGTAGATTAAGACAGAACTATCTGAACTTACAACTGAAACAACGTGTCTTTATTTGGTTTACAAAGTGAGAATTTGATAAGTGAGAATTGAAGTATAATGAAGGTCTGTAGAATTGAACTTTTATAATATCAAAGTATCTTAATATTTTACAACAGATCATAAACTAATTTAATTTTTTTTTATCAGGTTGTTAAAAGATAAGAAAGCTTTTCTTTCTATAAAAATGTCGTTTTTATTTCTTAATGGGATTTTGAAAAATAAGTCAGAAAAGTTTAGACTTAACTTTCCATAGAAAATCAATTAACATTCATTGTTTTCTTAGAAACATCAACACAATATGTATATTTCAATGTGAACATATTTATTCAATTTATAATTACATTATTTAAGAAATACGATTAAATACGACTAATATAATATATTGAATAACTTGTCACATAACATAATATGTGATATCATGATAAGTTAGTATCGCTTATCATAAAAAAATTTTTATCGCAAATTAAATAAATATATATGTTTTAATTAAATACGACATCAGAATATTCTGAATGAAAACTATTAAAGCTTTCATCTTTAAAATTTTTTAAAGATTAAAATGATAAGAATGTACACTTTTTTGCAATTGATTTTGTAGTTTGGAGCTTTCCACACCTGACAGGGGTGTATGTCTCGGATTTTATTATGAAGTGTTGTTATAAGTAAAATCCTTTTCATAAAAGTAAACGAAGAGCAGAGCAAATATCTAATAAAATAAACCAAAAATTAAAGCAAAAATAAAGTGGAATAATATATTTATTAAAACTTCTGCCATAATACAAAAGAATAACTAACTTTATAAGGACATAAGAGTCAATAGTCAATAGTTAATAGAAGGTTAACGTCAATGGTTAATAAAAGCCTTCGTATAAATACACGAAGTTCCCACCCATTTACTTTAGATAACAGCACAATCGACAATGTTAGCTTTTTCAATAACCTAGGCTGCACCATGGCTGTCAATCGCGGATCTGCAGAAGATATAGATGTTAAAGCAGTAAAGCGAGAAATGTTTTCGATCGATTAAAAAAAGTATGACTATCGAATCAGATTTCAAGATCAATAAAACTGAAAATCTATTCATCATATGTTAAATCTGTCATGCTCAATGGTATCGAAGCTTGGCGCAACAACGCCAGTGAAATAAAAAATATTTAAATTTTTAATAACAAATATCTACGAATCATCTGTAAAATATTCTGGCTTAATATAATTAGCAACGAAGCGCTCTGGCAACTTTGTAATAAAAAATAAATTAAATACTGTGTAATGAGAAGACGCTGGAGATGGATTAGGTACACACTCCGTAAAAACCCTATTAATATATCAAAAGCCACATTAGAATGAAATGCAGTGGGTAAACGAAAACCTGGCAGACCACGTAATATATGGAGAAGGTCATTGTTAGCAGAGCTTAAATCTACAAGACTGAACTGGTCACAAGTAAAATCATTATCTCTAAACAGAATAAGATATTGTAATTGAATTAAAATATTATGCTTCCAAGTGCATTAAAAAATGGGGAGAAACAACAAAAATTCCAAGGCTAAAATTCAAACTGAACCGAATCGTGTTGAAGACCTCTTATTTTAATTTGTGTAAACGTTCCCAAGCGGACCACAAAATAGAAGCTATATCTTTAGCAAAATCAAATGTCATATGTCTTCTTATTATTCATCTCACACAGCATTGAGTTCTGTTCAATAATTATACTTTTTCTTCTTAAAATTAGCAAATACTTATTCCTCCATAATTGTTAGTAATGGAATCTCTTTACTTAGTTTTTTGACCAAAAGACTCTTTCACAAAAACACCAACTGTTAGATCATCTTTTTCATAAAAGATGATCAGTAATCTGCTCATAGCCTTACTGCTTTGCTTTGACGAAACCTTTCATTGCCAATCAATTTTTCTGTACCTGGACTTATTAACCCAAACTATTGCTTTTGCTCTACTGTTAATAAATCAACATTTATGTCTACTATTCCTCTCTCTAATAATAATAACAATAAATATAATATTTCACTAATTGCTTTAATATTATAGTTATATATTGGTATAAAATATGTTATAGATATAATATATTTAATAATACTGTAAGACTACAATAAAAACATATTTAACACAAATAATATTAAAAATATATAATTTTAATATAAAATTAATACATAAATGTAATGTATATAACATTAAATAATATACATTTAATAGCATAACATAAATTAAAATAAATTTTTTCGTTTTTGAAATATAGGTACCTACTTTTATCCACTATTCTTATTGATTTAATTATCAACTTTTTATAAAACCCAGTTTACGAAAAACTTTCACTGAGCGATCCAATATTTGATCCTTAAATCGCATAATATTTGCATCTATTACAGGCTGTTCCAGCGTATCTTTATCGTCTGGTTCCCGGTAATGCTGCATTTGCACATAAGTGGAATTTATATCTTTCGCACCACAACCCACCCAGCTCAAACTGTAGTGGTTATGCAAACTTAATGCATATTCCGTGTTGTGTAGACATTTTGTGGCCATCCCTCTTCTCAAATGTTTTTCCACCCTTTTTACGTGTTGCAACATATAAAAGTAACTTGGAAGATCGTTATAATAAGGCGGCTCTTCTGCATATTTTGGAAAGTAAACATTCTGAAAACAATATCCTGCATTAGTTGAACACTTCGCATCGGCATCTGTAAGTTGTTCCCCGAATTTTATTATATCATACCAATTGGTCCAATTACCAAGTGGCATAATCACCTCATCTACATCAATGAGTGCTATGTATTTGTATTTGTACATATTTCTGTAGAAACAATCGTTATATGTCACCAATTCGTTAAGACGCTTATTAAGTCTATCACTTTTGATCAAAAAACTCTGTAAATTCGACAAGTTGGGTTCGCCTCTTGCAAATGTATGTGGCCGTACATCTATGAAGCCTGTACTCTGATAGTAATCCAAAACTTTTGTAACATTTTTATGTGTTTTATATTTATACATAATAATTTTATCTGCACCAAGCAAACGCAACAGTTCCAGCCATTCAACAATACGTGCTGATAAGTCCTCGAAAGGATACATTAATGCTTTAACACAAACGGCAAAACCACTTTTTGTTTTTGGTTTTTCTGGTAATTCATAACTTATTTTTAAATTATTTGTTGCTCTGTCACACTCTTCTTTCACCAAAGACACAGTTATTGGTATATCATTCATATTCTCTTCAGGTATAATACAACTTAGTAAATATGGATAAACACTTCTAGCTGAATTGCCCCACTTTTTATACCAAATGGTCTTATATTCAACTATTGGTATTATTACTGGCTGGGTTTTATTTTCATACCACAACTGACAATAACTCTTCGGAAACTTTTCGTCTATTTGATTCACCATACTTAGCACGCGTATCAATGGTGCGCCTGACACATCCGTTCGATTGTCATAATATGCACCATATAAAGCAAAACTAACATTTTTATTTTCAAAATCTTGATAATACACATTTCTGAATTTTATATTAAATAATGTAGGATACGGAGCACATGTCTTGTTCCAACTTTTAAATCGACTTGCGTACAAAAAATTAAGTGCCAGTGCTGGAAGTTCCTTATCAACCGCATTGACTATATCCTTATCATCGGGCACTAAAAGAATATTTAAAAAATATTTTGATCAAATTTTTTATCACTTTATTTCATCTTTTGTTTGTTTTGTTTTTTTTTTTGTTTGTTTGATTTCTGTATACCTTCTCTTCTATCCAAAACAATTTGCATTAATTTATTTTCTTCTCTTAAATCCCCATTGATGTATATAATTAATATTAACAAAAACACGAGTAAAATTATGATGAGTAAAAAACTGCGAACCAAGTACTTCTTGTGAAACATTTTGATTGAATCACCTCCAGAGAAAATCGATTTCGTCTACCTTTGCAAACGTGAATGGATTGAGTACTCCACTTGTTGAGATAAGTAGTAATAATTTTCACATAGTTCGACACTTAGTTAATTATTTTTAAAAAATGTTGAACCACTTATAATTTTATTTTAACCACTACAATGTTAGGAATTTTTGGTTTATCTATAAAATGCGTCAAAACGCACTTCCAGTTGTCATTGATTGTACTAATGTTTTGCTATAAATAGTTCTAGACACCCCAAAACAATCAACTCGAATGTGAATTTGCGATTTCGTAGTGAGTTTGTATTAAACTATTGATGCTCCGCTTGGGAGAAATCCAGAACATTCGCATTATCGGGAGAATTTTTACTCAATTTAGTTTAGTAAAATAATTACAAATGAGCTTTTTGATTATTTCAGTTAGAGGAAGTTCGTTTACGACTATGTATGTATGTTTATTGCCACTGATACGGAAAGATTACCAAACTTTATTGATGTTAAGATAAAGAACTACTAAAAAATATGTTCATTAGTTTTTAATTGTGAAATCAATAGGAAAATTTTGATTTTTAGGAACAAAAGCTTTACATAATTGTTTATTTAAAACCGTTTATGAAACTTATCAAAAAAAGTTGATTTACTTGCTCACATACATAACATTACCAGTGATTTATGTGATTATCTGCCTTAATGACTCAACACACATATTAAAATAATCTACCGATAGAAGTCCCTTTTGGAATTCTAAAGAATTTCCAATTGTACCAATTGAAGTTATGTGTTTGGCACAACTTTCTCTTTTGTAAGGACCGAAGCCTATCAATACCTCTGCTGAGAAAGTAAATAAATACAATCATACTACTATTCATACTACATCACATAAGTTGGAGTTTTAACCACAACCTCGTGTCCAATCTAAATTGGGCAGAACAGCCGAAGCTGCATGCACTGACCCCCATAGTACCAGATATACACCTCCAGTCTGATGTCGCAAGTGAAAACTGACTCACTATCATTTATACTATGGTGCCGAAATTGTAATCGCCTTAGGCATGCATTACCTCGGGAATATTCTAACTCCACTCTCGCAAGATAGTTGCTCGTATACCATCAGTCAATGTCATACAAACACAAGATCAGGTTAACAATCAGGGTTGGATTAAAAAAGGTTATACGTACATCGACTATTACGAGGCCATTAACGAATCATTTGTAATACCATTTAGAGAAGAATTGGATTTGATATATTAACCGACTATGTTCCTATGGGAATCCAGAACTCTGTGATATTCTATTCAACTCAGAAAATCCTTATTAATTTTTGAATAAGTTAAATGAAATTAATAATTATTTGTTATTAAATTTTTATCTTCATATATGTGACTGAAAATAAAAGACAACACCCTAAATATATTTTATAAAAAATACAGTAGTGGCTATAAAAATTGTTTTAAATATTTATATAAATTTATATATAAAGAATGTTTTTATATATGTGTTAAAATTTTAATCTTAGAACTTTGTATATAAACCAACTCAAATATATATATAGTGAATATATATATTTCAACTAACATTATTTAATTGAATTTAAGTTAGGTTTTTGTGCGCACTTTATTTTGTGAATTTTATAATATAAATGTATACTAGCTGACCCAGCGAACGTTGTTTCCCCTTGCAATTAATTTTCCTGGCGTTCGTTGCGTTGCTCTTGACTTTCATTAGCACGTGTGATTGTATCCTGGTTTCTTACATTTTCATTGTTTTCTGTCGATCTATTTAACCGACGGTTCTAGAGTAATTGTGAATTCGGACTCCGTCGACCAATATTTCCTCCTCGTCCACGAAGACGTGGCATTATTTTTTGTACGTTATTTATATATTTATATATATAATTCTTTTTTTTTTGTGTGTGTTCAAGTGAATTCAACTATAATTTAGATTCACAATTTGATCCACTGGATAACGGTTTTTTAATTATTATACAGTTTTTTGGTATCCATATACATTTATATTAGACATTTAATGCAACGGCAGTTTTACGATTCATTTTAAAGATTTTAAACTTTTTAAACAAATCAAAGTAAGCATGAATAAATTTTAAGTTTCTAATATAAATGTGTATGGATACCAAAAAATAAAAAATTAATTAAAAAGACATTATCCAGTGGGCCAAATTGTGAATTTAAACCTTCCTTGAATCCACTTGAACACCCACAAAAAATTTCATCAAAATCGATTCAGCCGTTTAGGAGGAGTTCACTGTCAAC